TGGCCTCAGGAAAGCGGGATTCTGCCGGTTCTGGATTTGTCTTGATAGGGTTGGCCTCAGGAAAGCGGGATTCTGCCAGTTCTGGATTTGTCTTGATAGGGCTGGCTACAGGAAGGCGGGGTTCTGACAGTTCTGGGTTTGCCTCAATAGGGTTGGCCTCAGGAAAGCGGGATTCTGCCGGTTCTGGATTTGTCTTGATAGGGTTGGCCTCAGGAAAGCGGGATTCTGCCGGTTCTGGATTTGTCTTGATAGGGCTGGCCACAGGAAGGCGGGGTTCTGCCGGTTCTGGATTTGTCTTGATAGGGCTGGCCACAGGAAGGCGGGGTTCTGACGGTTCTGGGTTTGTCTCGATAGGGCTGGCCTCGGGAAGGCAGGGTTCTGGCGGTTCTGGGTTTGCCTCAATAGGGTTGGCCTCGGGAAGGCGGGGTTCTGCCGGTTCTGGGTTTGTCTCGATAGGGTTGGCCTCAGGAAGGCGGGATTCTGCCGGTTCTGGATTTGTCTTGATAGGGCTGGCCACAAGAAGGCAGGGTTCTGCCAGTTCTGGATTTGTCTTGATAGGGCTGGCCACAGGAAGGCGGGGTTCTGCCAGTTCTGGATTTGTCTTGATAGGGCTGGCCACAGGAAGGCGGGGTTCTGCTGGTTCTGGGTTTGTCTCGATAGGCTTGGCCTCGGGAAGGCGGGGTTCTGCCGGTTTTGGACTTGTGTTGATGGAGCTGGTCGTAGGACAGCTTGTGATTAGCTGGTGGGATCCATGGCTAGGAAAGGTCATTTAGAACTGAGGGTGTTCCAGTCTGTGGCTCTGATAATATAAGCTGCTATTTTTATTCATTGTACTTGGAACATTTCCCATCTGTTTAAAAATACACGTCCCAGAAAATCCAGGATTCGTGTGTGTGCGGGGAGGGGTCTGTTTTACTGGTTTTCCCTTTTATACTTGAGGAACCTGAAAGAAAAGCAAGATGAATAATCTGTTTTATAATAGAAGCACATTACCCACCCCGTCCAAGGTGTGTGTGTGTGTGTGTGTGTGTGTGCGTGTGTGTGTGTGTGTGTGTCAGCTAAGGGGTTTTAATTTGTTGTAAATACTAACAAAATATTTATTTGCCAAATATACTGTTTAAAGACTATGCTTTCTCTTAGGCCAAGTTCCACGGTACCACTGTTATGGATAGGGTTAGGGTTAGGGTTCCAGGGTTATGTCAACTGGAATATTAAAGTGTTGAGGGCTGATTTACAGCTAACTTCACATCGTGATTTTTCACGGTGATGAGCGCCCCCTGCTTGCCGTCGCTAACTTTGCAAGCCGAGTGATTAATTGCACCTTGTGCCGCTCATCATAATCTTTAAGGAGGCACCAACCCACTATAACAGTAAAGACTGCAAGTCTTTCTTCTGTTCTGCAGAATTCATTTCTGTGTCTGGTTTAGTATCACAGGCTGAAGATTTAAAGGCGTGGACACTGTTTTAATGTCACCCAGCATAGCTGCGGGCACTGTCAGACTTGCTTCATGGATAGGGGGCAGTAATTCCTCAATCGGTTTTCTGCCTTTACAAATTTAATTACTGGCCACTGGATGGCGCCAACTCACTGTGTTGTATAGGCTCCACAGTAGTATTTGTAGTACTTTTAGAGTAATGTGGTACTGCTGGGAGAATATGCATTATTTTTTTGTTTATTATTATTGTGTATATTTGCTTATGTTACTGAGAATAAAGACTAAAGGCTTGTCCTATGCTGGTGTCTCTGTCACTTCATCTGGAAGCTGCAGGCACATAAACATGATGAAGGTGATGAGCAGGAGGCCTCAGACCTGGTCAGAAGGTGGGTCCAGGGGCCGCCTGCAGCGTAACGCTCCGCTACCTGAAGACGTGACGTGCAAATCTCATATTTCTGCTGGTGTTCAGGGGTTCTGTCATGGTGACACCTGTGCCTCACATACCTTGCTGGGGCTGTGACACACGACGCTCCTGATTCCAGGCTGCATTCTGGTCACTGATTGGCCACCATGGAGGGCCTCTAAGAACAGGCGATGATGTCAGCCGGTCAGCCCTGTCACTGGCCCCGCCCTCGCCTGACCCTGCCTTATCACTGCCTGCATATTTAATGACGGCATCCGGCCAGGGTGTCGCCGCGAAAGCAGGATGATGCCCCTGCGTTTCACTCTGAAAAGCCGCCAATGAAGAGGCCGGGGGCCGGTGCCTCTTGGCCGCGTCAGGGTGCTTTCCAGACAGATGGTTTACTTCAGATCCTGTGTATATCTCTGCTGTTACACACGGTGTGTGGATCTGCGGGGTGAGTAATGTAAACACCAGCCCCTTCCCTGTACGCCTGTGTCCTGTTTTGCCTTAATAAGGAAAAGTGGTGTTTCCCAGCTCCTGCTTCTACTCCTCTGCGTTAAACCCGCCCTAATATTCCAAAGCTAATGTAGCCTTCTGGATTCGTTGGGAAGCCCAGTGACCTGGACTGAACTGGTCATGTGGCACATGTGGGCCAATGGGGCTGTGGGCTGGCAAAATGTGTCATGGAGGAGTCCCACCCTCATGGGGACCCCAAAATCCAACCTGCTCAGAAGCTTAGCTACCCCCCCTCCCCCCCCCAGGGGAAGATGGAGATAAAGAGGAAGAGAAGTGTAGAGGCGATCGATGGCGGGGTGGGGGGCAGCAGCAGGGGGGGGCGGTGCTGTAGCCTGGGGGTGTGGGGGTGTGGCATCACCACTAAAAAGCTGAGGTGCTGGGGCTGAGAGCGAAGGAGACCAGCAGAGATATGAGCGTCTCACTCACCATCCAGGTCAAGGGCGGCCGCTCCACAAGCAGACCGGGGCACAGCACAGGTGAGGGTGGACCCCCCCTAACCCTAACCTTATCCCCCCCCTAACCCTAACCTTATCCCCCCCATGGCTTTGCTCCTTACTTACTCACACACATGGTTATCTGAGTGAGGGATTATGGGAAATATGTCTCTGCTATAATCCATCCCACGAATCAGACAAACGCTGTTTGTGATGAATGCTCACTGGTTCACTGCTGTTTTCTACATTTAGCATTATGTTACTGTCACTGTTTCCTGCTGTGTTCACCTGCTAATTCTTAGCTGCTGTCGTCTTGCCTGCTGCGATTTGACTGCTGCATTTACCACATTTTTCTTTGCTAAAAGCCTTTGTTGTAGACATTCAGATGATGATTTATGGTTTGTGTGAAATGTAAAAGAAACAAGCCGAATGTTACAGTTAAACACCATGAGCTGTGTATGGGCTGTATATGTAAACACAGCACAGTGCTAATTATTTTCAATAAAGTAAAGGATGACAAATATTCATGTCACTGTTTTTCCCTTATTAACAGAGTTAACTGTGGACAAGGCAGCCCAGGTAAGGCTGTGCGCATATCTGAGCAGCTAAAGCCCTGAAATGGCATCTGATACAAGTGTCTTCTGTCTGATTGGTTTGGTTCTGTATTCTGAGATTTTCTGCATGCGTGGGGACAAACCTCTGTGTACTGCATGAAGCCATGGTGAGCAGTGCAGCAAAGAAAGAGAGACCCTTCAGTTACAGATGTATGTGCATGTTTTTTAAAGTGTTAATGTGATAGAGAGAGAGAGAGACAGAGAGAGGGGAGAGAGAGAGAGAGGAATGAATCCCTGAGAGATGACAGAGAGATAGAGAAAGGGGGGGGGATAGGAATGAATCGCTGACAGATGACAGAGGGAGAGACACAGAGAGAGGGAGAGAGAGACAGAGAGAGGGGGAGAGATGGGAATGAATCCCTGAGAGATGACAGAGAAAGACAAGAGCCCCGGCCCTACTACCCCTGCTCCCTGGTGTTAACCCCCAGGCCTCCAGCCGTCGTGCCCCCACCTGAAAGCCATGGCCCTCCAGAACCACCCCACATTGACCCCCAGGCCCTGGGCTCCAGCCCACTAATTGGTTCCTGCTCTTCTTTGTACTTTCAGCCGGTGCTGGAGAAGGACGCTGCTCTTCTTGGCATGGAGGTCGTATCTCTGAGCTCCACCGCAGCTGCTGTGTCCTGCAAGCATGGTGATCATAGCAGGCATCCTGCACCCTCCCTGAATGCTGGGGGCCAATCGCATGCAACAGTTTTCGGAACGAGGCATGATGGGGTATGTGGAATTTACTGCTCCTCTATGTCCCCCCCCCCCCCCCC